CTACAACAATTTTGACTTTACATGACCTGCGCAAAAAAAGTCAAAAGAGATATGAGTGCGTTTTTTTTTGGGGCATATTTTTCAAGATTTATGACGGTTTTTCATCGTCATAAATGCCTGCAACAATTTTGAGATTCCATTGACTGTAAAAAACAAAAAAAAAAGTTACAAATATTATGAGTTTTGCGGGAAAAACAGAGATTTACAAATTTTTTTGAGATTTATGTTGGTTTGAATCATGCAACAATTTAGGATTCCATGACGGCGACAAAACCGTCACAAATATATATTATAAGCAAGCTTGTTGGTATTGAAATGACAGGGATTTACATGGTTTTAAAGATTTATAACGGTTTTAACTTTCATAATATATTTCTGTTAGTAAACGAAGAAGAATAAGAAATATAAATTATGAGAGATATATGTAAGATATATAGCTAGTTAAACTACAATATTTATTTATTTATTTATTTTTGAGGAACCTATGGGTGATGCCTTATCTTTTTCTCATTGTGTTTTTGTTAAGGAACAAACTTTCGAGATCAAACATTTTTTTCTTTCACTCGATGCAGTTTGAAGAAGGGTGTAAAGGTAAAACCAAGAAACAAAAAGTCTACAATTCTCACTCCACAATTATAATGCTATATTATTTTATTAAAAAGAAAACAACTTAGATAAAATACTCATAATTTCAAATACCGTGCAATCATATATTCAATGTCTGGACCATCTCATCTCTACTCTCACTCCTTGAAGGGAAGGACGAAAAAAAGAAAACTTCGTGAATTGAATCCCTTTGTAACAGAGTATCAGTCATATTGAATAATACTTTAGTTTTATCGGCGGGTCAAGCTTAATTTTCAATCTTTTGGACCAATGCATGGTGGATTCGAAGTCCTCCCTTCCATTTCCCGCTCCAAACCTCATACATTCCAAAGTAGAGTCGGTGGTCTCCTGGCGAGCTTGATGGAGCCTTCACATCGATAACTAAATCGTCCTCTAGAATATCGAACTTCTTCTTATCATAGCTTTTTGATTCAAGGGACACCTTCTTATACATGAACTTCCCTGACTTCCCAATCTTAGCCATCACGTAAACCTCACACCCTTTCCATCCAAAAGCGTCGGGTGCCATGGACACGTTGAAACCGACCTTGTAGCTTTTTCCAGCCTCCACATTGTCCGTTGAACATGTCATCTCCAGCCACGACACCTGTAACAGCTCTGCAGCGCTACTCGAGTCCTTCCTATGAACCCAGTAACTCCTCTTAGATTTAGTAGTAATAATTTAACATGACATCAATGGCAAAAAGTTCTATATATATCCAAACTCGTGTAATATCATTTATGTCATAACCTAATAACGAGAGTTGATATTTGCTTACGGTTTGCGGGTTGGACGAGGCAAGCGCCAATAGCGGTTGTCATTGCCCCATGTGATGGTTAAGCCTCTTGGATAAATTATAGTCTTCTGATTCTGTTAAAAATATGTATATGAAAACGTTACGAAAATGTCAAAAAGGGAAGATATAAAGAGAGAGACTTGAATGATGATAAAGGATTAATTACTTTGATCTTTTCTATTGCCTTTGGATCTCCATTGTAGTGAGGTGTTGAATAGAAGGCAGCCATAGCTTTGCTAGAAATGAAGGTAGCTCTCTCTTTTTTTTTTCTCTCCTTGTGAGAAATTATGGTGAGGGAAGAGATTGTGTAATGAAGCATTTTATAGTTGGAGGGAGGAATAATTTTCCTTTTTTCTTTTACATTATTTTAAGTTAAGGAGGAGTAATTAATATAATGGAAGAATATGCAAGGAACAAAGACATTTTGATGGGCTTACATTAAAAAGCCATCAAGCTTGAAAAACACGAAAATTAAGATCCAATTTGATAACTATTTTCATCGTTCTGATTTTTTGTTTATAAAAATTATGCTTCTTTTTTCGTTTTTTTTATATGGTTTTCACCTTCCTTAAAAGACATATGCCAATTTTCTATTAAAAAAATTATTTTTCTAAATTCCTAAGTTTTTAAATTTGCTTAGGTTTTAAAAATGTTTTTAAAAGTTAGATAACAAAAATAGGAGTAGTGTTTATAAGCTTAATTTTTAAAAACAGAAAATAAAAATTGAAATGGTTATCAAATAGAGACTAAAATTTGAGATATGTGTTTTCTTTGGAAGTGTTTCTTAGCCAATCATTTATCTGGGAAGAAAACTAATTCAATGTTTCTATCTAAAATTTGGAAATGTGGTCGCATCTACTGGAATAATGCAAGTGATGATAATTTTTCTGTGAAGTCTATGAAAAGAATCTGTTGTCCTTATGAACTTATTGTTTGGTTCAGCATCCAAGATTTGTGCCACTCTTGTCCCTAAAAAATGTGAATCTTTTCTAGGGCGTGCTGCGTAGGGGCATTAATGCTCACGACAGGCTCCAAGCCAGACTTCCTTCCATGTGCTTAAGCTCAAGTTGTGTACTCTCTACAATCAAAATAGTGATTCTATGGATCATTTATTTCTCCATTGTCCATATTTAACCTTCCTATGGACGTGTTTCTTCAAGATCTTAAAGATATATATTGGTCTTCCTGCTAGTGTTGATGCCTTCATACCTGAATATGCATAAATACCCCACTCTTGAACAGTAGAAATTTGTTTTGGTGCAATGGTTTCTGCTCTAATCCTTTGGTTTATTTGGCTCAAGAGAAACAACTGTCTCTTTTCAGACAAATATAGACCTGCAGCTCTTCTATGAGATGATATAAGAACCGCTGCTTCCTCTTGATCATCTAAATCAAGGTTCTTTTGTAATTATGCCATCTCCACCATCTCTTTAAATTGGAGTGCATGTTTTCCTTTTTATTTACGAAAATTTTAAAAAATACTTTGGTAATTAAAAGCACTTTTGCACTCTTAGTTAAAAAAAAAAAAGAAAAAAAAAAGTACCTTTTTTAGTAAAAAAAAATACTTCTTTATTAGTACTTTGGCATGTCAAATAATAACTAAAGTAAAACTATAACAGTTTTTTTTCAATATAATTCTACTGAGGTGAATTAGTTCAAACCTTGCAAACTTTAATGTAGAGAAATCACTAGTACTTTAATCAATGAATCGTGTGTATATATATATATATATATATGATGAAATTTATTTAGAATTCTAATGTGGGTATTGAGTCATATATGTGTTAAAACTATATTTTGAGGCCCCTTACCCATAATTTTAGTATTGATTTCACAAGAATATAGATGTCTCACTTATATAAAAGTTCTATAGAAATATTGATATTCATGAGTTTAGTTGAAAAAACCATAGAAATCCTAAAAATACCATAAAATACATGCGAATTACTAAAGAAAAAAAAAACATTTTAACCCTCTGTTAAATGTTTTTATTATCAATGCTTATGTTGACATTATTTATTTTTTTAAAATATTTTTTCTGTTTCATCTTTTTTTTACCATAAAAATATCATATTTACTATTTAAATTCTAAACATATTATAGGTGCGTCAATTGAATATTTAATTTCTTAGTCGAGGGATAAATATTAGTTAAAAACAATAATTTTGCTGTTAGAAATAAGATTTTATGTTAGTTGAACTAGTTAGTGAGAACTCGAACCTCTAATCTTTAAGTAATATTTTGGTTGGTTTAAATTATCACTACTACACTTTGAAATTTTCGTGATGTTAATGAACAGTAAAAAATGTCGAAATTTTAATAAAAACGTCACAATGAATAGAAAATATTTTCCTTAAATTTTAAAGTGAAAAATAGGTCGGTGACATATTATTTGGAATAGATTTTTAAAAATGTTTAAAATATAAATCACAAAAGAATATTACTTTTTAAAAAAAATTATATAAAGATATTATATTTTTTAAAACAAAATTACTTTATCATGGTTCTTTACACATTGTCCCCACAATTTTATTATTAACTTTTCATGTAGGAAAGAAACGGCAATATTTTTTCAAAGTAAAACAAAAGATAAGATTAGATTCTCTCTTATTTTTCCTTCTTTCTTTAATTTTTTTAGTAAAAATTTTGACTTTTCGACTCGACTCCCCTCTTTTTTTTTCCAACTTCTCCGATTAATATTTCATTCTTTTTTTTATTTTTTGAAATCGATATTGTATGACTTACGCTATGAATCTCTATAATCGAAACTCGTTACTTGAGTTGAGTAATACAATAATCAAGTACATTACTTGAATCAAGACTGATAGGTAATACCACAATTCCAAGGTCCTTGCTGCAGCGTCATCTCGACGATTATTTATTCATTCTTATTTTTAGTTCCCAACTTTAACATTTCTCTCCATGTGGGTTCATTTTTTATTAGAACATAAAATTAAGATTCCTAATGATTGAAGCACTTAAAAAAGTTTAAATTTTAATTTACAAAGAATTAATAAAATAAATATAGATGCTAGCTTTTATGGTCTATGGGCGGCATACATACAATGATGTTTGAAGTTAGCTGCCAATGGTATAGTAAGGAATAAGAGACAAACTAGAGGATATTGATTTGATTAAAAAGTTTAATTAAAAATAATGGTGGAGAAAGATCGAATAATTATTGAACAATTAGTTAATTGGGTATTTATTCATCCTCGCTTATCTTCACGTTGACTACTAATAAAAATTCATTTTCTACCGTTAGATTTCAACTCATTTCCTTTCACTTAACACTAGTCCTTTCAGCCAATGAACCACCTATGATGGTTGGATGTCTATACTTCTTAGATATTTAATATAGAACTCTGACTATAAAACGAAGTTAGAATCTATAATTAATACGATATAGTCAAATCTTTATCCATAGAGGTATAGAGAGAGAAATAAGAAAATAGAAAACAAGAATCTACGGTTATTACCTGTCTTAGTTAAGTTTTTTTTTCCTTTTTTCTTTACAAGTGGTCAATATTTGGTTGTATTAAGTTATTTTTATTCTTGGCTTACACGTGTATATAAATACCTACTTGGAGATCTGAAAAAAAAAAGGATGAAATGTGGAGGGAAGTGGGACAAATGACCTAAGATTATTTGGATTGATTCCTCTTTGGATTATAAGTACTGTAACTAGTATTACTGTGATAGGTTTAATTGGTATTTTCCTTTAGGGTTCATATTTTTTATTAGGTTTGGAGTACATGGAGGCGTAAGTATCATTTTTTCTTCATTTTACCTCTATTATGGTATCAAAAGGAGGGATCCTATGGTGTGAGAAGAAGGGTTAGATATCTTATAAATGATTAAATTTATCCTAAAGGTTTTTGGTTCATTGTCAATTTGAGCATAGCTCAACGGGTTGTAAAGCACCTATCTTCGACATAAATAAGATTGTGAGTTCGCATCTACACCATCATGTGTTGTACTAAAAAAAGAAAAAGCTTTCTGAGGTGATTTAATCATCTTAAGAATAATAAGAAAATTAATCCAAGATAATTTTTTAATTATACTTTGGTAAAATATAACAACAATAATAAGTCTACTTTAACTGAAAATAATAATAATAATAAAAAAAAACTGCATTTATCTTATACTGTTTTAAAATGTCTTTTTAAGCTAAATTTTAAAAGCACAATCTTTTTGAAAAAAAAAATTGAGAAGTATTTTAATTTTTCCCATCAAAATTTGTATGTAACTTAAAAATTTATCTTTAAAAATAAGAAAGAAAGAAGAACATAAATGAACTTGTTTTGTGAACAAAAACCTCATGTGAAAATAACGTTAGTTGTTTAAATCTTACGTTGATCTCTGTATTCTTAGTTTTAGTTCTATTGATCTATATACTTCTAAAACGTTCATTTTAATCTCTATATTTTTGAAACGTTCGATTTTGATTCATATACTTTAAAAAAAATAACTGTTTTGGTCACAATTTTAACACGACGCCACATTCAATAAATTTTTTGAAACATAGCCATAACTTTATATTAAAGAGCTTCCATTGTATTTAAAATTTGTGTTAGACTAAAAAATAGTCACTTTATAAAAGTACAAAAGTCAAAGCACATGAATCAAAATAGACGTTTTAAAAGTAAAAAAATCAAAATGAATAAAATTGTATGTACATCGATGAAATTAGTACTTAAACACGCTTTAAACTGAATCCGCGTGGCAAAAAGGACAAAAAGTTGGTGAGAATGGAACAAACTATATATCACAATTCACCACCCAAAGTTCGTTTACTCAGAAAAAGCATAAAGAAAAAAATAAAATTTTCGTTTATTTTGACATTTGTAAAGCATTTGAAAATTTCGGCCGTGTGTTTTATAATTTTATTTGATCTCTCCTATGTTTATACGAGTCTTTAACTTACTAAAAGTCCAAAGAATATATATATATATATATCATGATTAGACATTAGCATTTTCTAAAAATATATTTATAATTTAAGTCGGGAAATTTAGGGATTAGCTAGCTTGAGAGGTTAAGTAAAATAATCCATCTCCAGCGGAGTAAAAGTAGGATGAGACACATTGATATAGATGTATTGCATATATATATTCTATTCGCAACGTTACAGTGACAGATCTAGAATTTTACGTTATTAGGGGTAGAAGTATATATAAACATCATGATGGAAAAATATCAATTTTAAGTCTGAATTTTGTGCGTGTATGAATTTGCATGCCGACCTGAGTAAGCTCAATTAGTTAAGTT